ACAGTTTTACAGATAGAGTTGTATATTTTTCACGGATTATTTCAGATTTATAGGCCCTAGGCTAGATGATCTATACCGCTCAATCACTATACTACTCTTGTGGTTTAAGTATCTCTCACTTGTTTGCTTTGCGCACATATTTTGAAGTGCTATTAAATACTGGCATGTTTCCATGCATGACCACATAGTGTCCTCTTCCATAGTCCTCATGGTGATGTATCTTTTACTCACAGGCCCAACTCAGTACTCAGATACCACATTAAATACCAGGAAGCTGGCACTCATGGAGTAATGGAGGAGTTCACAAAGAAACAAACAAGGGTCCTGCGTGGCCTTAAAATCTACACCAAATATATCATCCAGGTTTATGCAATGAATAAGCGAGGAATGACAGGTGCCATTGCAGTGACAGAAGCAACTACTAAAGGAGGAGGTATTTGCTGCTGCAAAAATTAACTGCATTCCTTAAAATCACTCAAGAAGAGATATGAAAGACAAAAGAAGGTAATCCTTTTTAAATACATGTAGCATACCCTTTCGATGAACAGTTTTCCTCACATACATTTCGTCATCTCCCATGAAAGGATCGAAGGCTCAGTGACTTTGAATATTAGTCATTTGCTAGCTAGGTAAAGTTAAGTACTCTTTAACTGCTTAGTGAGTGCTGTTAGTGATTTGGTCCATGAAGTTTGCACCACTGTTTGTTTGCAGTTCCAAGAGTACCACCAACAGACTTTTTACTAAAGCCTGACAGTACAGGAAGAGGATTGATAGCGACGTGGAAGGCTCCTGACCCAACCAAAGTGAATGGAAGAGTATCCTTTTACAAGATTATATTCAGAAGAGTTGGAAGCAAAGTGGAAAACACAACTGAAGATATTCCAGTAAGGATACATACGATTACTCATACTTGTGGATGTAGACAGTTTATCTGGCAGAGTCAACAACAAGTTTGTTATCTACTGGACTCTTTACCACTTCCGTGGACTCCTAGTTAGAATTAACAATACATGTAATTGGGAATCATACAGCTTCTCACCATAAAAATATGTCTGATGTTGCAGCATGGAGGAATAAATATTTTAACTGTTACAAAGTGCCAGTAGGTCAGGGAGGGGGGTCATTTTAGAGCGTTAGTCCATGTGCTTAATGGTGCACAGTTTCTATATCATAATTCTTGTATGGTGTTAGGATAGACAGGAGTCTTTGTTCATCTTAGGCGGTGTGACAACTTTTTTTTACCATGATAATCCTTTAGTGATGGATTTTGTTTGAGAGCCAGTTATTTCTTATGTTTTAGGCTGATAAAGAGAGCTACACCATTGAAGGGTTAATGCCAAGAACCAAATATGAAGCCATAATAGCAGCGGGTACTGATTCTGGTATAGGACAATACACTTATGATTGGGTGCAGGCAAGCACTAATGTCAGTAAATGTGAAGGTAAAACCAGCAAATCTTCTTTTACAAACAGTAGTTGACATGCTTCAGCTACTGAGCAAGCAGGAATGTTATGCAAATATATTTATTCTGTGATGCCAGTCGATAAACTTGTCTTGTCTTTCAAACCAGTCTCTAATGTTTCATCCAGAACAGCTTGTTATAATTTCTCCAGGTTTTACTATCACTATGAACCCAAAAAAAACCAAAATTTTCCATAATTTCACCCACATTGTAAAGCTGTTCATATAGGTGGTTTGCAACCAATCTCCAGAGACACAGGTAACAATGGCGAAAGGAACAAATGCTGGTGGACGAACAAATGGAGCTAATGAGATGTCTATTGTTTACGTCCATCAACATGGCGGCAATGACGTAACGTGCAAACCACCTATACTGAACTTCTGTTTGCAGTGTGTGAGAAAGAACTAATCTCTCTTAAATGAGACATTTTTTGTAATTCAACCTTCCTTCCTTCAACTGCTATTTTGTGCATCCTCAGAAAACACAACACCAGGGAGACCATCATTTAAACAGCTTAAGGTATCGTCCACTACTATTTCGGTTAGCTGGAAGCCGCCGCACAATGCTGGCTTGGTCTGCGTTTCAAACTACAAACTGAAATGGGGAGAAAATGCCCCATTCCAATGTGGTCCACATGTATTGAAGGGTGACCAAACGGAGTATGTCATCACGGGACTGAGTAAGTTTGCTACAAAACATTTCTTTGAGGATATCATAAGCATTTAGGGAGCTTTAGCAACCACAGGCAGCCCAAGCTCACTACTAGAAAAGCGGACGTGACTCTTACCGTGTTACACAACGTTTTATATTTATAAAGGTTTGTATGGGATGTTATCGGTTTGCCTT